TTCTAAGTTGGGTAACCCTCACCCGGTTATTCAGCCCAACGGCGGTCGAACCTGAAAGCCATTTAAAAAGAATAACAGTGCCAGAAAAGATTGATAAATCTTGTGCACACGAGGAAAATCATAAAAGCCATATAGTGATTGTCCGAATGAAAGGGAGGAAAATCGAAACAGAAGACTTAAGTACAAAGCATAGTCGGAGAGGTTACCCATAGGGAGACTGAGGTCTGTGGTTTGCCGCAGTCTAGTGTTTGCAGGTTACCTGTTTTGAGGGAAAAGCCGAGATAAATCCTAGGGGACTTGGAATGAGAAGTCAAGTATGAGTATTATCACCGTAACTCACAATTCTATGGACGGTTCCGTTATGAAAAAAAAAAGAGATATTAAGTTCGGGTTGGTGAGCTTGTTGCTTGAGGACAAGCAAAAGTTCAAGTTCGGGGGAGTTTGATCGGTGGATTTCAGTTGTGTTTTCAAACGCTGTTTGTGGTTAATTTCGCAATGTTTTTATCTAATTTTCGAAGCTTTAGTTGTGATTATCTGCATTACTCGTAGTTGTGTGTCTTCGAGTCTTATTTTTAAGTTTATGTTGCTTTTGCCGCTGGTGCGTTTGATTTGGTTTCTTTCAGTGTGTTTTTGGCAGGAATGGAGAGCACGACAATCGCACCGCATTCGGAGGAAAAGAAAAGGCGAAAAAGGGAACTCAGAGCTGCAACACGGGTACCCGTGTTGCACAACACGACCCGTGTCATGAAGGACACGAATGGCAGACACGGGTGGACCAAAGCTGATGAAAAAAGAAGACTCAGACTTGCAACACGGGTGCCCGTGTCATGTAACACGGCCCGTGTTGCAGCCCTTGGAGAGGAACACGCCCCAAAAGAAGCCAGCAGCCTGACACGACCACCCGTGTTGCACAACACGGCCCGTGTCAGGGCCACTGAACGTGAAATTTCTCTGTTTTCTGTTTTTTTTGCTGTCAGACCTATTTCAAAGAGCATTTGAGGCATTTCGCTATGTAATTTGAATTTAGATATAAGAGGCACATTTTAGAAAGGAAAAAACACTTCTTGGAACAGAGATTAGGATTGACAACTGAGAGGAGAGTTCGGTTGGAAACAGAGGATCGATCAAAAGCGGAAGCAATTGATGATCCAAGGATTTCAACGTGCATTATAATGATCTTCTCCTTTTTAATTCTAATTCCTTTTATGTTTACCGAGAACATGAGTAGCTAAACCCCAAGTTGTTAGGGGGTGGTCCTTAATGCGATGTAATGACGTTTGTTTAATTATTCTATGAGAACTATGTTTTTACCTTAATATATTTGATTTTGCATTAATCCTATTCGTGTTCATATTGGAAAGTAGAATTCGAATGGTGCTTAGGCGTTAGTCTGGAAAGTCAACCTAATACTTTTGCAAAATAGTATCACGGTCGATATTGCTTAGGAATGAGGATATCCCGTATCACGTATTTTATGGTCGGAATTATTGCTTGATGTTTTTCAGGGACACTGAGGAATTAGTGAACAGGAAAATCATCAAAGGGTTTCCATTAAGGAATTAAGGCAACTAAAGTGGCCAACTGATAAATTAAGGTTAATAACTAGTATAGTAGAATAATCATACAGGGTCTTTACTCGTATAGTCTCCACTCCCCTAACACTGTTCTTAGATTGATTAATTAAGTCCGTATTTACTTGTGATATTACTCTGCTACCAAATAAACCACTAGACCTTTTGTTCAATTGAATTCTAAAAATTCCGTTAATTACTACGCAGTCCTCGAGATCGATACTTGGGACTTTTCCCTTATTACTACAATTGGTAAAAATAGTACACTTGCTATTTTCCCGATCAGGATACCCATGCCATTCTTGTGAATTCATCAACAAACAACACTCCCCCCAATTGATGCTACTGGAAATAGACCATACACATCAGAATGTACAACTCCCAAGGCATGTTTTGCTCTTGGAGCAGTTTCTGACGCAAATGGCTATCGTGGTTGTTTTCCTTCCATGCAAACTTTGCATGACTTTTCAGACTTCTTAATTGCAGAAATTCCATGTACCAACTTCTTTGAATTCAGATGTTTTAAGCTTATGAAATTCAAATGACCAAATCTTCTGTGCCACAACTCACTCTCCTTCTCAGCACTTGTTGCACTAAGACATTTTGAGTCTACAGTTCTGACATTCACCTTGAATGTTCTATTCCTTCCCTGTTCTGACTCCATAATCAACTTATGATTGCAGTCATACAATTTCAGAAGATTGTCCCTCATGGTAACTGAAAAACCTTTCTCAATTAATTGTCCCACACTCATCAGATAGCTTCTGATGCCAGGTACATACCACACGTTCTGAATCAATGTTGTTTTCCCATTGTTCAGAATCACTCTGACATTTCCCATACCTTCTGCATTAAGATATTTGTCATCAGTACATCTGATCTTTGTTCTCTTTTCAGAGTCAAAGTCAACCAGCCATTTCTTGTTTCCAATAAGATGATTTGAACAACCAGTGTCCATATACCACCCGTCTATCAGATCCATATTATCAGATTCAGAGGCCATTAATAGCACAGATTCGTCATCAGAACTTCTGGCTATATTTGCTTCTTCTGATTTTCTCTCCTTGTTTGACCAACAATCTCTAGCAAAGTGACCAAACTTCTTACAACAGTAACATTGGATCTTCTTCTTGTCATACTTCTCTTTTCCCTTCTGAGCATTCTTTTGTCTATCAGAGGTTGAACTTTCTGACTTCTGACCACCATCAGATCTTCTCCTGGCTTCTGACTGCTTCTGATACCTCCTATCAAAAGTTGCTTTCAGAGCCTGCTGCTCTACTTCCTTTTCAGAAGTTCTCTCAGTCAAACGCAACTCTTGCGCTTCTAGACTGCTCTGCAGCTCTTCAATTCTCATGGTGCTCAGATCTTTGGAATGTTCTATTACTACCACAATGTAGTCAAATTGAGGGGGTAAGGGATCTCAATACTTTCTCCATGATTGCTTCTTCAGAAAGAGTTTCTCCACACACCTTCATCTCATTAGTGATCAGAATCATTCTGGAGATGTATTCAGAGACTTTCTCATTATTCTTCATGTTGAGATTCTCATATTGCTTTCTCAAGGACTGAAGCTTCACCTTTTTCACTGATACGTCACCACCATAACATCTCATCAGTGTGTCCCACACAACCTTTGCTGTCGTTGAATATGCAATCTTCTCAAACACATTTACATCCACACATTGATGAATGAAGAACAATGCTTTCTGATCCTTCTTCCTTACTTCCTTTTGCGTGTTTTTCTGTTCATCTGTCGCATTTGCTGCTACTAGAACATAACCATCAGTGACAAGATCTAGAACATCTTGAGCACCAAACAGTACACGCATTTGGATCATCCCACGGTTCCAGTTTTTACCGTCAAATACTGGAAGTTTGGTGTTCATGTTGCTGTTTCCGTTCATCTTCTACCTTGCACAGTACACTCAGATTTCTCACACAGTGTTTCCCAACCCACAGAATTAAAATTCTGATCAGATTTTGTTCAAAATTCAACACGAATCTAAGAATCAAAGTCAAACACACAAGACCTCATGTTCACTCGTGTTTCCCGTGTTTCCCAATGAATCTGAACCGAAGCTCTAGATACCAATTGTTGGTGCAAAGGTAGAATAAATGATGAATAGAGAAATATTCTATTAAGAGAATGACAGCTACACACTACTACAAAATTGCAATGATTGATACCCTATTTATAAACTAATACTAGGGTTACTAGAATAAGATAAAAATACTAAAATACCCTCTAACAAACTTAGGGGCTAAGAAAATAGTACAACTAATAAATATGAATTACTTCTAATATAGATAACGTACCAAAAAGAAAAAATTATAATACACCCAATTAATTAATTAGATACTATTATCTATTTTATTTTGAGTTTAATTTACGCACACCTAAAATATCAATAATTTACAAGACAAACTCATCTCATCATGCACAACTATTTGTCTAAAATTTTTTATTTTATTTTTGTTGAAAATCTTTACTATACCAAAACAATTTTCTTTCTTATAGTGTATTAATTATTTTCATCTTTATGAATAATATCAAACAAAGCTCCTATTTAAATTTAAAATTTAAAATAATACTATATTTTACGATAAATAAAAAAGCAAATCTTATCATATCATATCTTGGATTTACAACAAACTTTTTTTCACCTAATTTATAGAAGATATGATATTATAGAAAACAAATATTATTTTTCATAGAAAAACATGATTACAAAAATAATTTATTTTCGCCTAAACAATAGACTGGCCTATAATAAAACCAAAATGACAAAATATGATAAAAACAGAATCAATAAAATATATATATATATATATATATATATATATATATATATATATATATATATATATATATATATATATATATATATATATATATATATATATATATATATATATATATATATATATATATATATATATATATATATATATATATATATATATATATATAAACTGAAAAGATTTACTCATATATATGTTTTTCTGTTAAATATATATTCTTTTTTATAAAATCTATAAATAAATAATATATTATACAATTGTTTTATTATTAGGATAATAGACACAAGTAAAAAAAGATATTTATAAAAAATTTGTATCAAAAATATCAATAAAAAATTAAACTTTTTATTTTATTAAAAATTATGCATAATTTTTTAAATATTATTTTTACATTTAATTTTTAACTTGTGCTCTAGATTAACATTACCCTTATTATTATCATCGCTCACTTTTAATTTTTTTCACACACTTCACTCCCTGAATAAACCTTCGCTGATTCTACAATTTTGGCCTGCAATTTTTTCACACACTTCATTCCCTGAATAAACCTTCGCTGATTCTACAATTTTCGCCTGGAATTTTTTCAGTGTTCTCAGTTTCGTGGAGAAATCCTCAATCGACACAACAATGGTTAGTTTTTCTTTTACGTTTATTACAAAATTGTCTACCAATGTTGTTTATTTTGTTTGAACCTTTTTGTTTTGCCGGAAAATATGTTTTTTTTAGGCGATGAATTAGGGTTCTGGGAAAATGTTGGATTTGAATATTTTCTGAATTAGGGTAAATAATGCAGGAATTGTTAAGGGGGTTTTAAGTGATAAAACTTTCTTCTTTGGTTTTGGTGTTTTTATTTAATTGTTCTATTGTTGTTCGAGATTTAGAAGATTGATTTAGATCTAACTGTATCATAATCTATGAAGCACAGACACCGACAACGGACACAACACCGGTAATAATTTGAAATTATGAATAGATTGAATGTAGTAATCACAAATGTCGGTGTCGTGTTTGTGTCGGTGTCTAACATGGACACACTATTTTTCAGAGGTCTCGGTCATACAAGGATTGTAATATGTAAATGATGATACTTGTAGTAAATGTTGACTTGTTAGTGTTTTTGTCGTGACTTGTGTTGTAATGAAATATTACGACTTTGAATGTGAAGTGCGAAAGCTTTACAAAATTGGAGTTTGGAACTTGAATTCAATGTATGGTTCGAGTGATTTAGTGTTTTAACCTTAATGCAAGAAAGTCGAAACAGTTGATTCTGAGTGTTGCCATGATATCAATCAATGCACTGTGTTATGAGTCAATTGTTTCAAACGCTTAAGTTGTTCGGTTAAAGATGTGATTGATTTTATATCTAATTTCTTTCTTTGTATTTGAATATTTGCAGGACGGAAATTCGCAAAACAATTATACAGGTGGCTGGAATAATAATAATAATAATATTCCATCCACTAATTATAGTCAGGGACTAATTCCTCATGGTAGTGGTCCTCGTGCCTTTACTGATAACTGGCACATACCACATCAAACGCCGATATACTATGCTGATAACCAGCACATACCACATCAAACACCAACATACTATCCTGATAACCGGTACATACCACAGCAAGCTCCGACACAGTTTGTTGATAACAGGAACTTACCACATCAAGCTCCGACACAGTTTGTTGATAACGGGAACTTACCACATCAAACACCAACTGATAATAGGCACATACCACATCCAATGCCGACACACTATGCTGATAATAGGCACATGCCACATCAAACACCAACATGCTATCCTGATAACCGTTACATACCACATCAAGCTCCGACACAGTTTGTTGATAACAGGAACTTACCACATCAAACACCAACTGATAATAGGCACTTACCACATCCAACGCCGACATACTACGCTGATAATAGGCACATACCACATCCAACTCTGACACACTATGCAAATAACACGCACTTACCACATCCAATGCCGACACACTATGCTGATAACACACACTTGCTACATCAAAGGCCGGAACACTATGCTGATAAGAGGGACTTGCCACATCCAACGCCGACACACTATGCTGATAGCATGCACTTACCATCTCAAATGCCGGCTCACTATGCTGATAAGAGGCACTTGCCACACCAAACGGTGGAACACTGTACTGATAACAAGCACTTGCCATCTCAAACGCCGGCACACTATGCTGATAAGAGGCACTTGCCACATCAAACGGTGGAACACTGTACTGATAACAAGCACTTGCCATCTCAAACGCTGGCACACTATGCTGATGAGAGGCACTTGCCACATCAAACAGTGGAACACTGTACTGATAACAAGTACTTGCCATCTCAAATGCCGGCACACTATGCCGATCAGAGGCACTTGCCACATCAAACGGTGGACTGTACTGATAACAAGCACATGCCTCATCAATCTCTGGTACACTATGAAGATAAAATGTGTTTGCCACATCAAAAGACAAAAGACTTGGCTGATAAAATGCACTTACCAAATCAAAATCCAGAAGATTGTGCTGTTAACAAGTGCTTACCGCATAAAACACCAGATCACAATGCTGATAAGACGAAGTTACCTCAGCAAACGTCAGAAGCCTATGCCGATAAGAGGAAGTTACCTCATCAAACGTCAGAACACTCTTCAGGTAAGAAGCTCTTACCACAACAAACACCTAAAGACTCTGCTGATAAGAAACTCTTACCACAACAAACACCTAAACACTATGCTGATAAGAAGCTCTTACCACAACAAACACCTTTACCACGAACACCTAAAGACTCTGCTGATAAGAAGCTCTTACCACAACAAACACCTAAAGGCTCTGCTGATAAGAAGCTCTTACCACAACAAACACCTAAAGACTCTGCTGATAAGAAGCTCTTACCACAACAAACACCTAAAGACTCTGCTGATATGAAGCTCTTATCACAACAAACACCTAAAGACTCTGCTGATAAGAAGCTCTTACCACAACAAACACCTGAAGACTGTGCTAATAAGAAGTGCTTACCACCACTTTTATACTGTGAAATTTGTGATCTTATTTTGAATCCCAAGTCTTTGGAAAGTCATAATAAAGGAAAGAGGCATCGAAGAAGGTTATTAGAACTAAGTGAGCAAGCAACGAAACATAAAACATCAAGTGGAGAAAAGATTGGACATAGTCGAAGTTCTCAAATTAGTAAAGAAGCCTATGTTGATAACAAATGCTTACCTCATCGAATGTCAGAAAACTGTGCTGCTAAGAAGAACTTAACACAACAAACACCTGAAGTCTATGCTGATAAAAAGTGCTTACTGCAACAAACATCAAAAGACTTTGCTAATAAAAGGCCCCTACCACATCAGAAGCCGAAAGCCGATGCTGATAACATGTGCTTACCGCAACAAAGAGCAAAAGACTTTGCTAATAAAAGGGCCTTACCACATCAGAAGCCGGAAGCCTATGGTGATAACGAGTGCCTACCTCATCAAATGTCAGAACACTATGCTGATAAGAATAACTCATCACAACAAGCCCCTAAAGACTATGCTAATAAGAAGTGCTTAGCACCAAGGATACATTGTGAAATTTGTGATATTAAGTTTGGTCCCAAGGATTTGAAAGGTCATAATAATGGAAAGAAACATAAAAAAAGGTTATCAAAGCTACGTGAGAAATCAATGAAACATAATACTTCAAATGGAGAAGAGATTAGACATATTCAAAGTTCTCAAGTTAATCCAGTAGTTCAACCTAAGAAAGTTCCTGCTGATGCTTCTAAAAGGAAACACGGGGATCACACTGGTGCAAAGGATTGCGATTTCAAGGTAGAGAATGTGAAAAATGAAACTTCAAGTTTCAAGAAAACTAGAGTTCCAGTTGAAATCTCTAAAAGGAAAGTCATGGATAACACCGATGCCAAGGGTCATGGTTTCAAACACGAGATTGAAGGAGCAACAGGAGTTAAGTACATGAAGATGAATGATGGGACAGGAAGGTTTGTGAAGTCATCAAAAATTGAGGTCAATGCTGTGTCGAATTCGGTCAAATCTCTAGTGCAAACACCTGAAATAACACCACCATCAGGGCACGTGGCTTCTTCTGAAATAGCAACAGTCCTTGCTGAAAGATCTAGTTTTGAGCTACAGTCTCAACATGTCTCCGTCTCACTCTCTCAAGAGTCTAAAGGCAAAAAACATTACAATTTTCAAAATACTACTGTAGAAAAGAATGATCAGCCACAATCAACCCCAGTAGAGTTGAATGCCTCAACAAGCTCTAATGTTATTGCCGAAACAGAATATGTAAGTTCTGATTTTGCTGTAACAGCAACACCACAAGATCCTGTGGCTTCTCATGTATTCACACCAGCAGCAGCAGCAGGATCAAGTTGTGAACCCAAAAATCATGGTGATTTACTGAGAGAAGTAACAGAAGCCAAAAAACATCATGAGGTTCAGAAATGTGTAGAAATTGTCGCTGAAGATAAATTTTCTGACTCTGGTGCAATAGTAATAGCACTACCACAAGGCCTTATGACTTCTCAGGTACTCACACCGTCACCAGCATCTCGATCAAGATTTGAACCTCCACTTCAAATCAATTCACAGATCGAAGTAGAAGAAGGCACAAAACTCCACGAGGTTCAAAATCATAGTGTGGAAACAAATGATCAACCACACTCAATATCAATGGAGTTCCACGTCACTGCAAGTTCTGATATTAATACCTTGATCGAAGGTTCATGTTCTGATTCTATTGCTATCGTAATAGCACCACCACAATCTCCTATTGCTAATGAAGTACCCCCACCAGTAGCAGTTATACAGACCAAAATGTCTGATAGAAAAGTTCATAATGAGATTCAGAATCATATTGTTGATTCAAATAATCAGCAACATTCAATCTCAAGGGAGTTGCACGACATTGACGGTTCTATGACAAACAACCAAACAGAAATTGTGAATTCTGACTCTACAGCGAATTTTTTTTACAGAGAACCACTTTCATCACTACTGCCAGGTGCAGCGGGGTCAAGTTTTGAGCCTGTTGAGAGCCAACATCCTGCTGAGGAATCAGATATTGAACTGCCACCACCTGTCTTAATGGAGATTGATGGCGCTTTAGAGGACAGTGTTGAAACCAGAACTGAAGATGGAAGTTCTCGAGTGGAAATGGAGATGGATGTCGATCTCTCCCCTGAATCAGGGAAAACTAAGTTGCTCAAGGTATTTCTCATTTTTTGATTTCCAAAGAAAGTATCCAATTATACTGTACTTCTTATTTTGGTTCAAATGTGTGCTTTTTTTGTTATATACAACTTTTTATGAATCATTTACATTAAAACTTTGCCTGCTTGTTGCAGGTGTCTGTTTGTCTTACGTGTGGCGATGAAGGCTTTGAAGAGGCAATAGTATATTGCAGCAAATGTGGAGATTATGCAATGCATAGGTACTTTTTACTTATTCTTTCCATGTGAAGATTACATGTACTTACTCTTTGGAAGACACATCTTTATTGCCGTATGATATGGACACTATTGCATATACCTGTGCGATGCACGAAACAACTTATGCTCAGAGAGGAGCTTATTTTTTATCAAGAAAGTTTCTATTTTAATTTGAAACGGTTTAATAATAATAACATCACAAGCAAAATGTTTTGAAGAAAATAAGTTTTTTAAACCTATTTACTAAGGTTTAAAAAATACTAAATAATGGTTTATTATGTTATGCGATAAGGATATTAAAACGATACAGAAAAAACACATAATCTTTTAGGATACTCTCCGGGCTAGTAAAAATAGTCCGACATCGTTCGAGATTCGAGGCTAAGGGTAGTTTATATACAACACCCATACACCTCAACCCAAGGAGACGACTTTACTAAAGGACAAAGCCGTGTGGGACTGAGATCCATTATACACGAGGTGTCTCTCCAAGATTTTACACTAAGATCCATTAATTTTAAAAAATGTTACAAAAGTCGTGGACTTAAATGATGTTGGCGTACAATTAATTTCACAATCTTAAATATCATTTTTAGCCTTATAAACATGTAATTGTGGGAATTTATCAGAATTAATATGATTCTGATTTGTATTCATTTATAATGAGGATCAATTATTCTTCCTGAACCTTAGGCCATTGAATTGATTACAAATTGGTATTTTTGCTATTTATTCACTTCTATGTATCATTCAGAATTAACAAGTGAATACAATCTTCACTTTTCTGAACTAAAATTTACTTTTTTTCAGATATTGTTTAGCTGGTCCTGTGATTTTTACCGACAAGGTTACTTGGTTTTGTGAGGATTGTGAAAAAATGGTAGTACAAGCAGATCATCATAACAGTGAGACTCTAGAATCAGAAAAAGACGAAGTTGTTTTTGATCCGGAGCCTATTGCTGATCCAATTTGGAGGTAAAAAGCCATGTTTTGTAGCTTCTGTTACCGTTGTTTGGAATTAATGAATTCGTCTTGGCTGACGTCGAATTTTCTGTTTAGTAGTGGAAGTTTGCAGGTTTTCAACAAAAGCTTTGATAAAATCAGTGGACTAATGGCCCATTTGTCGACATTAGCTTGCCCTAAAGTTCTTGAGGAGGCAAGACATCTCCCTGATGTGCTTTATGCAAACTTGCTTCAAAGATCAGCTATGTGGCCAGAGAGTTTCAAGAAATTTGGAACAAATAATCTGAGCATTGGGCTCTATTTCTTTCCTGAGAATGAAAGGTGACATTTTTGCTAATCTCTCAAAACCAACATATTACTAAATTCGAATCTAGTATTGAATTAATTGTTAACGTATTTTTTATTTTACAGTGTTGAGAGATATTATGACAAGCTAGTTGATGAAATGATTTCCAAAGATCTTGCCATTAGAGTCATGGTTGAAAAAACTGAGCTTTTAATTTTTCCTTCTACATTGCTCCCAAGACAATATAAGAGTGAGTTACATTCCAATATATATTTTACTTCATATAAACTTTATGGCTTGTTAATTCTATCTAAATGTTGTGTTCTCATTTTGTAGGGTTTCATTCAAAGTATTATTTATGGGGGACTTTTAGAAGAAAGCATGCCTCAAGCACCATGAAAGATACATGATATTGATGATGTCTTAACAAGATAATAGTCTTTTTATTTTGTTACCAAAAATGTAATACCCCTATGTGATTGTATATTTAATGATATATTATTATTTACAAAATAAACCATTCTATATCTTAAATAGAGTCTACCATAAAAATAATTAAAATAGATTATCAGGGTTTTAGGTCTTACCCAAAAATTGTAATAGCATTACGCATTAAATACACAATTTTTTTGATGAAGATAAATAAATAAAAGTATTTTTGTAAAGTCATAAAAAAGGCATCATTTTTTCATAAAAAGAAGTGATTAAAAGACTTTTTAAAATTATAAAATAACATGTATTAGTGAGACATTAAAAAAGGAAAAATATTAATTTAAACATATTCTTTATATTATTTAAAAAAAACTTATATAAAACTTAAAAATATGAATCTAAATAAGTTTATTGGACACTTATGTAATTTAAAAGATAAAATAATAAATTTTATAGGTTTAAACCAATTTAGACTCAATTTTTTAGAAAAGGTTAAAGATTTAACCTTTCATGAATAAACTCTAATTTTTCTCCTAGACAATGATTACACATAGTTTTTACTCGACAATGAGAAAATAAAAATAAGATCGCATATAGACCCAAGACATTTATCATCTAAAATTAACAAGTGTTAGGTATCTAATTTTCATTGGATCTTTAGGGATGAGTGAAAATAAGGTTGCATTTGGCCAACTATTAAACAACTCCTTTAGAGATAAAAAGTCTCCTAAATTTGCACTTTTCAATAGTATGACCATTTTTGCAACAATAATGACAAGATAAGTTACGATGAGATATACCCTTGCTATTTGAGTTCTTATGCATATATTTATGCTTTTTATTAAAATAATTCAAAGACTTTTCACACTTTGAAGGATTAATAGCAAATGCAATCTTAGGTTGTAAGCTTTTATCCAATTTGACTTGAAGAATTTCTTGCCAATTGTGACAATGTTCACAACCAAACCTTGAAGATTTTACATCCTCATTCTTGTCACTTTGAATATCTATCATAGATCTCTTAATAACTTCTAACGTTCTTTCGGATTCTAACACTTTAACTTCTAAGTTTAAAAAGACTTTTTCATGTGAAACTAACTTGTTGAAAGCTTTTAAGGCCTTTCTATGAAGATCTTCAAAGGATTTTTGTAATTGAGAATAAGATAAATCATTAATAGATTCAAACTTAGAAAGACTTACATTTTTCTTCTTCTTTTTATTTGTCATGAGGTAAATCCGAATCGATTCAACACTTGAAGTTGTGCTTTCATCACTTGAGAAATCACTTGCGCTCTCCCAAGCGGCATAAGTTCTTATAGACTTGCTAGATTTATTATGATGACCATTCTCTTTGTCTTTCTTCCTCATAGGACACTCTAGTCTATAGTGACCGACTTCCCCACAATTATATTAAGATCTTCTAAGTTTACCTTTCCTATCTTCATCATCCCTTGAGGAGTTTGCTAGGCTTCTAAGTTTGACTAGACTCTTGTCGGAGTCTCTAACTCCATTTTTCCTTATATACATATGATATCTTTTTAGAAACAACCTCATATCCTTATCATAGGAATTCTTGTCATCTTCACTTTCACAATCACTTTTCTCATTGTGGGAGGACCTTGAACTTGAAGTCTTTAGAGCAATGTACTTATTCTCTACTTCCTTGTCTTTACCTTTCTTCTTTTTCATTTTTTTTTCATACTCTTTTTCGTGTTTTTCCAAGCAAGAGAATTCTTGCTCATGCTCTTCCAATTTGCCAAACAAAGCCGCGAGATCAAGTATTTTAAGATCATTCGCCTCTTTGATAACAATGACCTTGGGTTGTCATTCCCTATTTAAACATCTCAAGAATTTGTTAGTAGCAATCTCATTTGAAATAGGCTTACCTAGTGCATTCAATCGATTGATAAGATGTGTGAACCTTTTTCGCATGTCCGCAATGGTTTCATCATGCTCCATACGAAATAGCACAAACTCTTGATTTAATGTGTTGATCATAGATTGTTTGACATCATTAGTACCCTCATGGACAACCTCTAATGCGTCCCACATAGCCTTGATGGTCTCACAATGAGAAACGCGATAATACTCATCAACACCTAAAGCGGACGTGAGAATATTTTTCGCTTTCCAATCATGTGACCACAAATTCGAATCATTTTCATTCCATTGTGCTCCCGATTAAGGTATGATAACACCTTCAACATTGGTCATGGTAATTTCATTCAAACCATTTTTGATGGCGTCCCATATACCCTTGTCAACAGAGTTAACATGAATACATATACAAGCTTTCCAATAGCCATAATTTTCGCGGTGAAAATTGGTGCTCCATTGTAAGCTCCCTTAGTTCGGTAACCATTCTTCTAAAAAGAAAATCATAAGCACATAATTAACTGGAGCTCGTGATACCACTTGTTAGACGATAGACTTCGATCTAGAGAGGAGGTGAAAAGATCACAAATTTAACATCAAACGTTTGGCAAAAATGGTTTTCAAAAGTTTTATGGCATAGCAAAAACAACTCAGATCGAATCGTCTAACCGAACCTCTATTGAAATTCTCAGATATGCATAAAGGTACACAATTGAATGATAATGAACACAAATTTTTTAACAACGATTGATCACAAACAAATAAATGCTAAGTTATATATAGAGCTTATTTCCAATGATAAAAAACACATAAAAACATAAATAGGCAATTTATCGAACACTTTGTGTGTAATCGATATTGTTTGGAAATTTGATTTATTTTGTTGATCCAAAAACCAATCACAATCAAATGGATTGTGATTATATCAACAAATTAAATTTCTAAAATGTAATAAAAAATTAATTTCCAAATGAATTGATCAAACAAAAATGAATTCAATAATTTGCAAACACAAAAAATAAGAGAGAGAGAGAGAGGAGAGAGAGAGAGAGAGAGAGAGAGAGAGAGATAGATAGATAGATAGAGAGAGAGAGAATGATTTGTTTAAACAGTTCCCTAATCGGGCTCGCTATGGGTATGTCTGCCCTCAATTCGAATTCAAATTGAGATATTATAATAAATCTTACATTGCAAAATATGCATACAAAAGATGAAGAACTCAAATCCTACAAACTCTATGTTTTTTCTTGATTATTCCACCTCCAAAACCCTTGATCAATCTTGATCAAGTAACCAACCACGTCGCTTCAATTCACCTGTTGTTTCTACTTCCTTGCTAGGTAGCCCTTTCCCCAAGGCTTTCACCCGACTGAATTAATCCCAAGTGCATGATTAAGTAACCAATAACACCGCTTCAATTCACCAATTCTTGCTACTTCCTTTCAAGGATCCCCTTTTCCCAAGGCTTTCACATGGTCGAATTAATCCTAAGCGCAAAACTGTTGAAACCCAAGATTTACTAACACAATCCACCGTCTCACGCTACTTCCTTGTAAGGCACCCCTTGTCCCAAGGCTTTCACTCGATCGAATTTGAATTGTGAAATCTTGTCCAAAACCATCAAATCCTAAATGGTCTTGAAGAAAAAACCCAACTCACTTTTCTTATTTGAAACCCTCAAAGAACTCAACCCAATATTCTCAGTACAACAATTTGATTAGACGTTATCAACTCTAATCTAGATGGTCACCCAATCAAAAAATGATTACGTGTAGTTTGATTCTGTGTGTCACACTCTAACTTTTAACCCTAAGATTCACCTCATTTTCATAATTTTTGCATGACATCAAACATCTCATGTGTGTGTCTTTTATGCATTTACTAACCATTGAAAAAAAATGTGCCTTGCTTTAATTACAAGTTAGGGTTTTGGCACCAAGGAGCTCAGACCAATCAAGAATTTATGTGATTCTCAAATCTTCAACATGATCAAGATCTTCCCTTTTATCCATAATCAAGTGCAAAATTACCTCAATTCTATTTCATCAAGCCCTAATTCATCTAATACATCAAATTAGGGTTTTGACCAAATCAATTCTAGGTTGAATTTTTGACCAATGGCATGACCTCACACTTCAATACATGGTTCAAAGGCCTCAAGTACATCATCTTAATCCATTCATATGTTTGGATTGGTTCAAGGAGCTTGATTCATTGATAATTGAAGAATTCTAGTTCAATTGAGAAAAGTCAACCGTTGATCAAAGTCAAAGTTTGACTTTTGAGATTTTTAGTAAAATATGGAATCCACAAGTCAAGGATCATGGAAATATGAAGGATGATTGAGTTTGATCAATTTAAGTCCAATAAATCAATCAAAGATCAAGAACTGAGGAAATTAGGGTTTTGGAAAAAAATTTAAGTACAAATTCTCATGGTTAAATGACCTACTTTCCAAGAGTGTAACTTCTTCCTCAAGCATCCAATGGAGACACTTGAAATATACTTTGAAAATAGAGTTTGATACTAAAAATTTGTGAAAATTTCAAGCCAAAAGCTTTCTTGGATTAAAAGTTATTGATGTTAAAAGTTGGAGTTTCAAGTTGTTTGAAAATCTAAAACACTTAGATTTTTTTCTAAGTTTTCAGCATGGTCAAGTGCATGACTTTGAGGACTCCTTATGAACAATTCAAAACACCTATTTTGATGATTAATAGCTACAATTAAAGACCACATTTTATACTTCATTTTGGTGAAATAATGAATCCAAAAGCCTTTACTAATTGAAAGTTATGATTGACCAAAATTGGAATTTCTTCATGATTAGCATAGTTCAAAATGAACCAGAATTTTCCTATGTCCTAGTCAGTTTCAAGTGCATGATTTGGAGTTTAATTTTGCCCACTTTCTAAGCATTTTGAAGGCATATGAACAACTTGAAACTTGTTCCTCTCTATGAGATCTTCAGAATGATACCAAAGTTGTGGGAATTTGATCTCCATTTAAGGGATAAAAGCTTAGTCCAACATGCCATCTTGAACCACTTTGGGCATGTCATGAAAAATGGATTTTGATCACCAACTACTTTCCACAATTCAAGGAA